TAAGTAACTGATTGATGTTTTAATGTATTTTAAGCAGCCATTTTCATTCAATATTTCTGAGCAGCTATTTTCCAGTTTTCAGTGCCACGTTCTAATATTCTGATTTGCTGCCTTAAGAGTTTGTAAATAAGTTTTATGGCACTAACAGTACCTTTCCCTTTGATATGCTGAACATACGTCATGAACTATTAATAATGTATTATATTTTGGTGCTCAAAGCACCTGCGTAGGATTTAAAGATAACTTATTTGAATATCAGCTATGACAAATGCTTTAGTCATACCTGTTAAAGGAGGGGGATAATAAGTTTAAGTTTGCCTGGACTCACAGCAGTTTGATTTGGTGTTATTGAATCCTGGTATTGGCCTTGTGGTATTGTGACTCATAAAAATGTCAAAATAACCTTTGTTGGGGACACCGTGGAGCAAGATTGAGTGAATTGAAATGGAAAAAAGCTTTTTAGTAATTACTGTTTCACCTCAGTTCTCTGTCCAAGACTAATTGAAACACACAATTATTAAAAAGAATGGAACAATTCAGATAGAACAACAACCTATTAATTCTGTTAAACATTTAGTTTTAAGTGTCCATAAAATACCAATAGAAATGATCAATTTATCTAAATCTTCTTACTCCCAGGATAGCTCCATTTATTTAATATTAAAAGATGTGTAATATTGAATGGTTAGTCTGTTCTGACCAGTGCTGTGGATAATAACATAAATGGACTTCTTAACTTTTCTGAAGGAGGCAAAATCATCCCATATCTTTTGTCATTGTGCATTCAGTCAAACTCAGTATTTTGTGCAAATTAATTTGTCTCTTGATGCCATCATCCTCAAAACATAGTCAAAGCTATAGAATAAAACATGACCGCTGCTGTACAGGACACGTTTGCATTTCCCTCTTGAAGCTGTCGGATCACTTACAGACTTAAAGTCACCAAGGAGGTTGGTTATGTATTGTATATTTAAGAACGAAGGTTAACACATTCGTCCCGAAGGAAATTATATTCACCTCAGGAATTCAGATCTAGTTGTTCTGGATATGGCAAGTACATGCACTTCGCCTTCACCAAAACCCATTAGCATGCCGTGCCCTGGTCACATTTTATTTATTAGCGTTATATCCACAAGGTCTGGTAGACTCAGCGTGTGACAGTATCTAAATGCTTTTCATTTTCCTTTAGAGCTCAGGGTTTGGTGGGGTTGTCTCTCAGCCCATGCAGCAGTAATTCCAGTCTTTAAATCAGGATGAGGTCCTCTGTCAAGGGCAGTAATCTTACTGTAAACACATTTGCCGCTAATCCCCAAATAGAAGAAAGCTCCGATAAATAACAATAGTAAAAAACTGAATTGGGTCTCCAAAATAAATAAACTCTCATGAAAGAAAATTGCATCTTTGAATGTGGGGAGTGAGCAACTCCCTCAACCTAATAAGATATGACAGAGTCATTGGGAATCTTTATTTGGCTTTGGCTGGCTGAGGCGGTCGGTACTGGTGGACCAGTCCAGATAAAGTGCAATGTATACAGAGTAATTTCACTCATGATTGATCACTCATACACATTTAAGACCTATTCCTCTTTCTGCCGGGTGGAGGGAGCGAAAAAGGGAGGTGACTTGGAATATCATTAGCTCTCTTCTCACTTTACTTGTTCTTTGTCCTGATATCGTTTAACCCCGCGGAGTAGATATAGCGCTTCTGGGCATGCTGGGAGTTTGGAGTGAGTGTTTGTTTTGCGGTTTTACCATTGCATCAGAATCCACTCCCTTTTTTATTCTGTAGGAGACGGCTTATTTAGCTGTGGTTTAATTAGCTTTAGCAGTTAGTTAGTTAGTAGTAGATGCCATAACTTGAGAATTATGCTGGCAAAAATCAAGTTCCCTTTCAGTCGGTTACTACGAGTCACGTTGTGACTGACGAATTGGGATCTCGCTTCGAGAGACCAATCTACTTCGAATGTAACTAAATGAGCCAATGCACGTTGGCATGCAATTACTTATATGAGCATAAAAAGGCAGCCGGTGCAATGCATACCAGCTTTTCACTTCGGTGCCGAGCAACAACATCGTTCTGCTCCATCCAAGTGTCTTCAGTGAGCTACAAGTTCAACGCGCTGTTGGAAGCGTCTGGTGTTGGCGGACAGCGCTTCAGCGGTGGTCGTTCCTGTGTCAAGTGGGTTGTGCACTCCAGGCTGCACTACCCCCTGTTAAGCTGCAAGCGGCCATTTCCCCTGTGCGCCTCAGCACTAAAAGAGCATTTCCCTGAAAGAGCAATTTCTCTAAAAGAGCTCCACGGATGCATCTTTTTAAAGATGCCGTTTCATCCGTGCGTTTCTGGATGCGGTCGTTACCTGGCGCCAGGTGGTGGTCACGATCGCTGCCTCACATGTTTGTGCATGAAGCACGCTGAGGTGGCATTCAGGGATGAGTCATGTTCCCTCTGCCGCAATCTAGTGCTCGTCCTGGCGGCTGCTGGGCGAGGACTACTTTCGGCAGTAGCATGGGGTGGTTTGAGGGTTACAGTGGTTGCAAACTCCTCAGGGAACCAACCCTCGGGGGCCCACCACTCCTCTAGCGCTTCAGATCCAGTTGAGAGGCCAAAGGAACGCGCTGGCCCCTCTTGAAAGAGCGTACCAGCGGTATCCTTTGGTGCTCCTCCCGACGACCGATGTCCGTTGTCGATCACTGCATCGGAGGGAGAGCTCTCTGGTGAGGAAGATTCGGCTGCGCTGCCTCCCTCCAGGGCAGTGGCAAGGTCTGAATCGGATCCGGAGATGTCGGCTATGCTTTCCCAGGCCGCCGAGTGGGTAGGGCTCGAGTGGAAATCTCCACCGCGTCCCGAACCCTTGAGGCTGAACGATTGGTTTCTCGGTGTGGCTCGCGCTGGTTCTCAGCACCCTGCCTCGGTGCCTTTCTTCCCGGAGGTGCATGAGGAGCTCACCAGGTCATGGACGGCAACTTTTACTGCCGAAAACCGATCTGCTGGTTCCTCCTCCCTCACCACCCTCAATGGTGGTGCAACTAGGGGGTATGCGGGGTCCCCCCCGGTGGAGCAGTCGGTTGCGATGCAATTATGTCCTAATACTGCCTCCAGCCGGCAGGGCGAACCGTGCCTCCCCTCCCGGGTCTGTAGGTACTCGTCGAACAATATTTTAGAGAAATAGGCCTTTTGTGTACATAGAAAAAGTCTTAGATCTTTGAGTTTAGCTCATGAAAAATGGGGGCAAAAACAAAAGTGTTGCGTTTATAATTTTGTTCAGTGTATATTAGGGGTTGTACCGACTAGTCGACTTCAGTGCTCTGCCATGACGCTTTAAGCTTGACGTCGACTAGTCGCTGGTCCTATAGGGTGTAACAGGATAAGAAATCTTTGAAGGACTTCCTCATTTATGCTCCATTTCCAAACAGTTCAAATGGCAAATAAATGCATATTCTGGAAGTGCTCCACAAGACATGTGTGATTATATTACTGGATGCTTGAAATTGAACGGGAGCATGCACGTTTTAAACAGCTTATTGCACAGGTAAATTAATCGCCGTTCTAATCTAATGTGCTGCTGCACTGTAACACACACACATAGGCTACAGACAGTAGGGCGTACATCACACGCACAGAATCATTCAGCGCGGAAATGTATTGTCAACACTGTTCTGTGATTTCTCAATAAAATAGCTTAGAAACTGAAAAGTTCAAGCATTTATTTCTTAATAACTAAATTCCACAGCTTCACTACTAGTAGAGAGACGCTGCCAGGTAGAATTAATTCACACACACAATCGTTCTCACGAATGCATTCATATTAATGTAATCTTTACAATGCTATAGAGAGAGAGAGGGAGAGGGAGGGGGAGAGGGGGGAACTCACATCACAGTGGAGTCAGCTGTCTTAACCGTGGCTTGTGTACTGCAAACACATATTCATCACTGTGTCACAAGACTCTGTTCCCAATTCGGTCTCTGTCTTTACATTTATTTTGAAAGATGAAGCTCGCGATTATGGTAAGGGGCGTTACATTTCTGACGAGTGCTTGCGGTGTTCGGCCAATCACAATGCACTGGGTCAGCTGGCCAATCAGAGCAGACTGCGCTTGTCGGAAGGAGGGACTTTGTAGAAAACGAAGTGTTTGAGAGAGGCGGGGCATAGAGGACTTACAATAATGTACAGTATTTGAAAAATAATGTGTTTTTTGAACATTAAAGCATGTCAACATATTCTGTTACACCAAATACACAAAATAATGATCTTTAAAAAAGCATCATATGACCCCTTTAAGTCATTTTAAATTGTAATAATATTTATTGTGTTAGCATAAGAGACTACTTTTAAAAACTTTCAACAATCCAAACTTACTGTTTGTAAATGTTAAGTAATATAAGTAATATACAGCATACTAGTAGTTTACAACATTAACAAATTTGAATAAAATATTATTTTTAAAATAAAAAAAACATAAATATTGTAATATATTTCACTAATTGAATATATTTATTTTTATTAAATGCAACTGATTGTAACAAAATGCATAATGCTATTGTAATGATGTAATTACCATCATTACATTTATATGAACTAACTAAATTTATATTAATTTAACATTTATATTAATTAACTGAATTACATTTTCATTTTTTTTATTAATTTTTTTATTATTATTATTATTATAAGAAATGGTGTTTGTTTCTCAGTCCTGAATGATGTCTCCTTTATATTATTTCTGAGATTTTCAATCAAAGGTAAATGTCATAGCATGTGGACAGTAGAATTTTATAATTAGCTGCTAATTAGTTAATCAGTTGACCTTTTTATCCCGAGCAACATACAGTTGCATGGATAATCCCCGTGGAGTAATCTAGTTAAGTGTTTTGCACAAGGGCCAATTGTAATGATCCTGGTTCAACCTTTGTGAACTTTTAACCTAGAACCTTTAGGTTTACCACTAAAGATCTTTATCAGCTAGCTTACACCACCTCATAACCATAAACCCCACAAACAGCACACCAATTCACTACAAAAACCACACATTCTCTTTCCCTCAGCCGCTTCGGCACTCCTGGTGATCTGAAGCATCTGGTTGATGCTGCACACTCCATGGGCATCACGGTTCTTCTGGACATGGTCCACAGTCATGCCTCCAGCAACACAGAAGATGGGCTGAACTACTTCGACGGGACCGACTCCTGCTTCTTTCACGGATGCTCCAGAGGAAACCACTCGCTCTGGGGCAGTCGACTCTTCAATTACTCCAGGTGAACCACGGCTAAGAAATATGCAAGCTGAATACATTCTGCTCTCATTCCCAACTCTTGTCCTCTTCAATTAATTCTCATTTGTGAATATCAAACAGCCCTTGATTTGTCCACAAGCTTTTACTTGCTAATGGACCACTAATGGATCTTAATGGCATCTTAAGACGTCTAAGAGGTACTACGGTGTTTCTTGAGCCATCACAGCCATTCACTTGTGATCCACTTTGATTACTGGGCAAGCATGGCATACCTCGCATATGACACTTCACGGTTTGTAAACAAGCTTTTTTGGTAAATGTTCAATTCGGGTCGCCTTATACTCACAATAAAAACCTTAAGAAATTTCTCCCGTCCCTCGTCTTTCTTCTCCCCTCTCTTCATCTCTGAGATGACAGGCTCTCCTTACGCCACCTCTCAGCACTGATCCATTAGAGGTCTCAGTGCTGCCCTCCGTTGCCCTCTTCTGTAATGGGATTTCACATCATTGTTGTTTGAATCTGAGGAGTCATGCCTCACCCACCAAAATGATAGTCCTGTCTGGCGGTTACCTCTGCGAATGAACATTGATTTTTGGTCATATCTTTGTTATTGATTCTGGCCGTATGCCTTTTGTTCCCTCTCTTTTGTATTTTCAGTTTCCATTTTAATTTTAGTTTAAGTAATTTCAGTATGGACTTTTGTCATTTTATCTCTGTGTGCGTGTGTGTGTGTGTGTGTGTGTATATATACATACATATATATATACATACATACATACATACATACATACACACACACACACACACACACACTGTTCTCCAGGAAATTACACATAGTATTAAGATTCAAGGGTATGTAAACTTCTGAATGGGGTCATTTTTATAAATTGTTATTATTTTGTCTTGTGGAGTATATGTAAACATCTATTATGTGAAATGGTTTATTCAGGACAGTACTAAATAAAAAAACATGCAATTTTCATGATCCCTCTTATTTTGTTTCAATTATTAACATTTTGCACATTCTGCAAGTGGTAAGTAAATTTAAGAGCACAATCTATGTATATATATATATATATATATATATATATATACACATACAGGTGCTATCGTGAAAGATTTTTTTGCAACATTTCAAAAAGTGAAACTTTCATATATTCTAGATTCATTACATGTAAAGTAAAACATTTCAAAAGTTTTTTTGTTTTAATTTTGATGATTAGAGCTTATAGTTCATGAAAGTCAAAAATACTGTATCTTAAAGTATTAGAATATTTACATTTGAGTTTCATTAAATGACCATCCCTACAGTACAAATTCCGGGTATCTCTTGTTCTTTGAAACCACAATAATGGGGAAGACTGCTGACTTGGCAATGGTCCAGAAGACAATCATTGACACCCTCCACAAAGAAGGTAAGTCACAGAAGGTCATTACTGAAAGAGGTGACTGTTCACATAGTGCTGTATCAAAGCATATTAAAAGCAAAGTTGACTGGAAGGAAGAAAATGGGTTGGATAAGGTGCACAAGCAACAGGGATGGCTGCAAGCTTGAGAATACTGTCAAGCAAAACCGATTCAAACACTTGGGAGAGCTTCACAAGGAGTGGACTGAAGTTGGAGTCAGTGCATCAAGAGCCACCACGCTCAGACGTCTTCAGAAAAAGGGCTACCAAGCCACTTCACTTCCAAGTCCAGTGTGAATTTTCCAAAGTCAGTGATGATTTGGGGTGCCGTGACGTCTGCTGGTGTTGGTCCATTGTGTTTTATCAAGTCCAAAGTCAATGCAGCTGACAAGCTTTATGGAGATGCTGATTTCCTTTTCCAGTAGGACTTAGCACCTGTCCACAGTGCCAAAACCACTTCCAAGTGTTTTTTTGACCATGATATTACTGTGCTTGATTGGCCAGCCAACATGCCTGACCTGAACCCCATATGGAATCTATGGGATATTTTCAAGAGAAAGATGAGAAACCGTCGATTCAACAATAATTCAATTAAATTCAGGTTTATTTGTATAACGCTTTTCATGATAAAAATCGTTGCAAATCAAGAGATTCTGTGTGCTGTTTTTTTGGTCCAATAAGGTCCAGTAATACAGATGAGCTGAAGGCTCAATAGTGCCTCAGCAGTGCCACAGGCTGATTGCTTCCATGCCACACTGATGCTGTCATTTGTGCCCCGACCAAGTATTGAGTGCATAAATGAACATACATACTTTAAAGAACTCTATCTTTTCTGTTTTGCAAATCCATTTTTTGATTGATCTTAGGAAGTATTCTAATATTTAGAAATACTGGATTATTAACTTTCATGAGCTGTAAGCTCTAATCATACAAATTAAAAAAAAAAAATTGAAATGTTTTACTTAACATGTGATGAATCTAGAATATATGAAAGTTTCCCTTTTTGAAATAAGTTACAAAAAAAATGTACTTACATTTTTTTCACGATATTCAAATTTTATGAGTTGCACCTGTGTGTGTGTATATATAAATATGTATATATATATATATATATATGTGTGTGTGTGTACTGTATACAGCTTTGATTTGTGCATTTAAAATTTGTTTACATTTTCAACTTCAATTACCGAAAGCGTTTTTTAGTAGTTTTACTTTGTTTATGGTTTAGTTAACAACAACAACACTGACTTTAACAGATAAACGACTTACAATATAGTAAATAGATTGTGTTTACACTTTGAATGCTTCATGCTTCATTGTGGTTTCCCAAACATTTTTATGTATGTAAGCTTAATTTTATACTTTCAATAACACATTTTTTCTTGTGCAATTTCTTGGAAGTACTCTTAGCCATCAAATATTAAGCCTGGGACTTAGGCTTGTGCTCAAGTAGAAAAAATATCTTGAAACCTAGGAAACTGCATGACGCAAAGCATAATAAAATGATAAAAGAACAAGTACAGATGGTTTTCAGATCATGTAATGCCATTATACCCTGCACAATTGTTATTATATATAGTTATTAAGTTTCAGATTGTTTATTCAGACAAAACAAATCAGCGGCTGCTTGGTGTTTCTTGAATGAAACTCGAAAACAACAGCCTGTCTATTCTAATCTTGCTTTTAATTAACTTCCATCGCAGCTAATTGATAAGCTGCTAATTTATACCCATTGTTTTGACGCTCTTCAATTATCTTTGATTTTTGAGTTTAATTACTCTGTTGAAAAGCTGTTTTTAATGCTTTTTAAAAATATATTAAATTTGATGATATTTTACTTCACCTTGCAACTTGATCAGAATGTGCATGTTTATTTACATAGATAAATTCGAGGATCATTTAATGATGGCATAGAAGGACAATAGACAGTACAGTTTCAAAGCTTTGTATTGTGAATAATTTATTTATTAATTCTGTTTTATTTGTTAATCTGTTATTTTGTTGATTGAAGGCTTTGATGTTGTTGTTGTTGTTTTTTCTTCGTTCAGCCCCAATTATTTTTGATACTGATGAGGGATTGGTGGAGTGGCAGTAATATATTGATTCTTCTTTAAAGTCTTTCATCTGTGGCCTGCTGCAGTTGTTGGTGTCTCTGTGGTGTAAATGAGCCTGTCTCATCCGCCCCTTACCTCTGTCAATTCCCTCTAACAATCTTCTCTCTCTCTTTCCTTTGCATCTCTTCATCATGCATAAATTCAGAGTGCCTGAGAATGAAGTGTCTAATGCTTCTGTAAAAGTTTTTTGATTTTGTTTTGAAGTGATTCACCAGTGATGAGCGTCGTTCTTCCCGGGTGTTTGCGTCTTTTGAAGGTGATTGTAAATGATAACTGTGTCGACTCCATCTCCTTCGACTATCCTTATGGATTTGACACGGCCCATCGGAAATAGCCGAAGGATGACCCTCTCACCCTCATTTCCATTAAAATCCAATCACAGGAGACACGCCTCAGTTGCGTGGGTCCGTAAACGGCCGTGACGTCCCCTGATCTGATACACTCCATGTCCAAAACTGAACGCAGGACAGTGTTTTGTATGACAGTTTCTATGAAAGAATGGTTATACAGGCTTCTAAAGCAGCATAATGTCACGTCTAAAGATCTAGAACAAATTCCAGTGTGCGTAACTGAGTATAATCCTTATTACTCAGAAGAAATGTAATAATTAAAAAAGAACATAAAAACTATATTAATAATAATCAGTGTTATTTTAGTATTATTTATATGCTATTATAGTATATATAAATATTTTGAATTTGCTTTAATTTTTGTAGCTTCAGTTCATTTTAGTTTGGGTTTTTTGTTTTCATATAGATTTTTATTTAGCTTTAATTGATTTCTCTTTTAGTTTGAATGATTTTAGTGCTTTAGTTTAAACTTATTTTATCACAGTTATTTGCTAACATTTCTAATTTCATTTACATTTTTAAGATTGTTTTTATCTAATATTTATATATTTTATTTATTATATATATATATATTTTTTTTAAATAGTTTTACTTGACCATACCAACACTGATAATAATAATTATTATTAATAAGATTTTGTACCATTATTTTAAAATATGTTTGTAATAATGTTCTTCTTCTTCCTCCTCCTTTTTTTTCTTCTTCTTCTTCTTCTGCAAATTACATCACATTTCAAAAACAATTTTGTTGCGGACGTGCAAATTGTGCATTTTTGAATAGCAGATGCGCAACATTAAAAGTAATATTGTAATAATACTGCAATTGAACTGGTTTTGTGAGATGAAGTGGCTTTGATCAAACTCCGTAATAATTATGTAGGCCCTATTTTTTGTAGAACATGGTTGAATTAAAAAAAAAAAGATACTTAAGAAAACTCAAAATATCTGGCAACGTGATGCAATTTCTCAACTTTATTTCCAAATACCTCACAAAATGATAATGTTTAACTTTATGCTATCAGTACAACGTTCGGTGTTCTCCCTTCAGCAGCTCTTTTGAAACAGCACCAATGTACCCCTATAAAAGACATGACAAGACGTGAAAAACAAAGCCTGAAGACTGAAAGAGTGAACCTTCTGCAACAGATGCTG